TCTTCTGGCGAGATGCGGTCATTCATTCGGCGCGTGACTCTCACGGTACATTATGGGCATTCTCTAGCCGTTGAGCGTGCACCAGTCGTACACTCGTTTTAGCAGTGCATTGTGGGATTGAATGCTCTCGAGAACGTCCACTATGGTTTCGGACACCACTAAAAATGGCTGTTCCCTCAAATAGTGCCCTATTTAAGGGTATAGGGGGCGATTTCGGACACAGCCACAGACTCGTTCAAGAAGGAAACAAGACCGTCTTCATGACCGAGTCATTGAAATGATTCGTTCGAAAACACTGATTGTTCAGGAACGAAACGCTAAATTGCTTGGAGAACAGCAGATTGATTCAGTTGATTCAGCTTTGACCTCGCTTGCTGGAACTATTCACGTGTTAAATGCAAATTACTCGATATTAACCTCTGGTTTATTGAGTATTTATTTTTTAGTTTACCTCCTGGGGAGGGATGTCAAATGAGATGGTTCGAAGATCCACTTTAACAAACGAGTCCGTGCAGGGAATGATGAAGAAGATTCCTAGACACAAGTAACATTTTTAATTGTATTTGTTATTATATGATCTGTGTCAAACAGTACTGATTCGTTATTTGAACTAAACTGACTCCTTGTACAGGAACTGAGCTAGTAGGCCACATTTATTGTTTTAAGAACAAGTTCTGTGAATGCCCTTACCAAAAAGTAGTATACTTCAAGTTTATTTTATTAAGTATACTTTATGTAGTAAGTATGCAAATATCAGTGTACTAGTAGTATACTTGTAAGTGTACTATTTCAATACTCATTGGGACTAAATTGGCCCACTTTCTAGTATATAAAAGTATACTTTTAAGTATACTTTAAGTATAACAGTAGTAAACTTTGAGTACACAACTAGTTTACATCAAAATGTTTAGTTTGTACTGCAACTATACTAAAAGTGAACTTATAGGTATACTGATAGTTTACTAATTAAATACTTGTAGTAGCATTTTAGTACACTTTGAAGTATAGTCTCAGTAAACTACTAGTTTAGTAGTTTTATACTGCAAGTATACTCGTAAGTTTTCTTTAAGTGAACTTTACATCATACTTTAAGTATACTACTATGTCCCTATTTAGGTTTGTCTATATTTTGTTATATGAATATCTGAACATACAAAACATCAAAAGAACAGGGTATCTGCTTCTAGCTTCATGCATTCCTTTTTTAAACACTTGAATGTGGATAAGTTTCATAAATAAAAAATAAAGAAATAAACAACATTTTGAACAAAAAGCTGAAAAAAAGACTATGAATTGGATTCAGAATGATAATCAAAACGTAGATAAAGTCGATCAACACCCCAAAGCTTGACAGTCATTATTACCTCTTTATTAGTCGACATTTTATTCCATAATGTTATTCAAGTATACTTAAATGTCATTTGAAGTATATTTCTGAGAAGTACATAAAGCCCATTTCTGAGAAGTACATAAAAAGTGGACTAAAAGTATACTTTCCTATTTTTAGTTTAAAAGAAGTATACTAATAGCACACTTGAATAAACTTCTTTTTCGTAAGGGTGTCCTCAGCTGTTGTAAACAATTGGTACCTGTGCATCGAGGAACGTCTAAGGCAAATATTGATTTGCCTTTGACAAAAGGTGGCGTTACCTAAGTATCTGTTTAGCTTTAACCTACTGAATCTAAGTATTACCTGGTCCTTTGGCTTTTCGGGCTGTTATCCTCCCCAGTCTAAATATGACAGCACGCTCATACTCTTTCACAATCTATAAAACAGTTATCAAACATATTAAGTGGGTTATAAAACATTTGAACAACAACTGCAGGTGTAAAACATTCAGGCGTTGATGTTGTTAAAGTGCAAGACTTACTAGGAAAGTAAACTTTAAAGTTAAAAGAAAGCCAACTTTAAAGTATTTAGTTATATTGTTTTGTTATCAAATTAATGAATAAAGTGGCCATACTCAAATATTGATTTGAGTTCAAATTGTAATAAATTTATTTTATTTTAATATTTGAAAAGAAAGGCAATGGTGTGATATGAGAGTTAAGAAACCAGTCGTCTGTATGACAACTATGATAAACATTAAAATATAAATGGAAATAATAAATGTAAAAATAAAATGAATTCAAAATAGTAATGAAAACTACTAAAATGATACAAAAATAACACTGGTCCCCGAGAGCATAGTAATTAATATTTTTCAGGATTATTTGTTTTGTTTGTCCTATTGTGGTTCACACCTTAATGCTTATGAAAATGCTGATTGGAAATATCAAGATGGAGAAAAATGCAGAGATAATCACAAGGATCCACCCACAGCAGCCCAGACCTCCGTTATTTTCACCTGCAACCACAGAAAACGGTGTCGTTCTCAAAAACAGCACATGACTAAAAGTTAAACAGGTCAAAATGTTGAGCTGTGTGAAAGAACTCAGTGCTAATTACATGTTTTATTCAATGCATGTGATTTGATGCTTCACATGGAAGTTATATTACTTAAGGCAGTTGTCTTGTGGAAAACCTTCCACATCCTAGTTTCACTTCATTTTAGGATGACCAACAAAAAAAAAGTGTCAGTGTAACAATTGACCAATAAACTTAAAATTATGATTCAATTCATTTAGATAGTTTGGTTTGCTAAGAAACTAAATTCCCTTTCTAACTAGCAACTTATCAGTAAGACTCATCTTAATCCTTACTAACAATCAAACTGTAAACCACATCTTATCTTTTACCCTTAACCCTGAATAGAAGCACTTTACACCAAAAATTCAATATCGGCCCCTCACTGGATCAACAGTCTCTCAGGTAAACATGTCACCAGGGAGACCCTCTTCATCATAAATCAGCTCTGGGTGGTCCTTTATGAGTGGGTGGGTGGTGAACATCGGCCCACAACCCCTAAGTGTGACAGATAAGGCTACACTAATTTTTCCACACACACCCAACAATTTCAAACCAAGGCCATATTTTATGCTTATGGCCTGTCTATCATGCTCTTCTAAAAGAAAGATTAACGTGTGTTTATATGTGTTCGCATGTGCTGTTTCACTGAAGTGGTTATTGTATAATGCAGTCAAAAGTGCTAAACTATTGTGTTGTACAGAGCAATCTATTAACCTAAGAGAGGAAACCAAGAAACTATAATAAACTCTTCAGGTTATTTATAATCTGATGTGATTACTCAAATCAGGATAATGGGCCAACTCTAAAACCACAAAATGTTGAAGTCTAAAATTAGTAGTTGACGAATACAGACCTTTCTGTGAATTCAGCATCAAGATTTTAGTAAAAAAAAAAAAAAAGGATTAAATACATTTAAAATACATTAAAAATTGTTTATAGTTTAGGTTCTGTGGCTGTCACCCTTTCTTTTTCACCATTTTAGCCTTTTTGAGGTTCCTTTAAATAGTCTTGCAGTTACTATCCTGTTAGATATTGCGACATACAGTACCATATGCATGTAACACCATTAACTTCAAGTTTAGTTGACCTTTCCTCTCTGTTCAGATTATATCTGAACAATTGCTGACTAGGAATACTAAAAATAACACAAACAGCTATTTGACTTCATATATGTACTGTATATTTCTTTCTTTCTCATGCAGGTACAATTGTGAACCGGTGTGGAAAATTGACTGCTTTGCAAATCAAACACTAATGCAAATGACAAATCTAACTGATCATAGTTGAACAATGCAAACTCAATCGACCTCAACACACAAGTCCTGTTGTAGCTGTAGGTAAGACAATTACTATATTATACTCTCAGCAAATTACATGTTAAAGTCCAGTGTTCAAAGACAAAAGGGTTAGAGTAAAAAAGGTGAGATCATCTTACTGATTAGATTCTGCTTGCTCTGGGCTCCTCGTTCCATCTCAGACTCCATTTCCATGTGGGTTTGTTGCTACACGAGATGTTTAAGACAGCATTGGCTTTGTGGGTAACTGAGAAATGTATTTGTACTGCAAAAGCACTTCCTATGAAGGGTGTGGCCTTGTCTACAATGCAATTAGAAGATCATTTACAGACTCTAATGGTCTTATGACACCATCCATTGTGCAATATGAGGCTGATGTTTGTTAATGAAGCAGTTATGATGATTGCGATTTCTCTGAAACACATCCGCTGTTTGCTTTAGGCCAAGATGCTTTATTCTTCAGCTAGCCAGTGTGCTTCTCGCTATACAGATTTGAATGCCTTTTTCCATCTAGTTTTTAAAAACATGTTCTTGTTTTACTCTTAGTAAAACTAATTAAACCATCCATTTCATTCATGGCTTACATGCAGGAACTCATAGGTAGTATTGCATAATGTCAAGTAAGTGAACAAAGGGTCAAGTGGAAACTAGTAATTGCAGGATTCTCGTGATTCATGATGTGAAAAAGATTAAAGTGGTTATTTCACTCGTGACCAAAAGTATGGGCAGGGTAAATCAACATCAAAAATAATCTGTAATATTACTGTTCTCCGAAAAAGTTAACCGGCAAAGACCTCAATATGGACTTTGCCAGGTTTTCTCTAATAATCAAAAAGGGCAAATCAGTAATACAACACAAACTTCCTTTTAACATGTATAGTAAATTAATATCACTTTTCGATTAAAAAAAACAAAACAATAACAGCCATCTAAAAACCAATTTGCAAATTACTAATTCCCATAATCTTTTATAATTAATCTGGCATCAATGGAATTCTGGTAGCAAAACATTTTGAATTTGGTTTTGTTTGTCTGTAGTGACATTGCATCTCATTTTAGAAAGCTGCTGTGGGTTTTGTGGTCATTCTGGAAAGTCCTGAACAAGTGAAAGGTGAAGTGACATATTCACTGCTAACCAAAAAATTCTGAATAAAGACAAACAGCAAGAGAATCTAAGAAAAGAACTTTTATTTCATGATGCTGTTAGAACATACTAGACTAAACCTAACATATTCTTTATTATATTTTATAATATATAATGAACACAAATGTGATTATCAGAGACTCTGAGATCTACACATTGTATACATGCAAAATTCATGGTTCTGACCTTAATCTCAGCAAAATTGCACAACTGTAAAATGTGTAACACTAAAGTCACTTTGGAGTTGCAAAGCAACTCCTTTAAAATTTGCAAGGTAACTTAGGAAAATAATGGGGGAAAAAACAGAACAGCTATAGTACAAAGAGCAAACCCCTAATTTACCCATTCTCACTGGGTATTTACATGTACAGTATTTGACAGACATTTGAAGAAAATGTCAGTTAACTCACTACTTCCATGATATAGGTAAAACAGTTTAGTAAAATTTAGACACCCACACTATTCACATTTCCTCTACTGGTGTATATTTAAAATTCATTTTAGTATTCATTTTTAAAATGATGATGCTTAAACAGAGTTAAGCCCTACTACATACCAAAAAATAATACTAAAGAATAGTATTCATTTCATTCAAATACATATAACAAGCAGTCAAGCCCAGCCCTCAAAAGTCAATAAAATTCTGTTCTACTAATGCAGAGCTCTAAACCACAAGCTTGTCTTGATTTGAGACGTGAGTGTCTTCTACAGGAAATTATTGGAGAGTAGAGCTGCCACATAAGTTTTTGAATTTACCCATAATTGCGTTATGACACACCATTTTCCATGCGGAGCACCACAGTCCACAATGTTCGTCATTGTTTATGCACACTGCACACACTAGGTCACATCGTTTTCGATATGCCTGCCCTCTGTAGCTCACAATGATTTACTGCCAGCCCAGTGGCGGATGCAGGCCTGGCTGCAGAGGGAAGCTCGAGCCAGCGGCTGCAGGGTAGTTCGTGAATCCATTCGGCTGGGGAGGGTAACTGTCGAGCGCTGATGCAGAGTGAGCCTGCAATCACACACACAAAACAAACATTTGCATAGAGTAGCAAATTCTTCTAAAATATCTTGCTCGTTATCATAATAGCAGGCATAATAATAACATCCAGTGGCCCTTTAAAGGCAGGGTATGTGATTTTTCAAAAACACTTTAGAAAACTGATTCGGGCCGAATCGCAAAACAAACTTGTAGCCAATCAGCAATAAGGGGCGTGTCTACTCGTGATGTGGAGGAGAGCGCGTTCAGTGCATAGGATGGACATTAGCCGAGCCGAGCGACAGAAAGATAGAGATGGCGGATAAAAAACAAAAGAGGAAAACGTCTGCGGAACGATAAAGCAAGAAGTAGGACCCGTGTAAATATCAGATCAGCTTTCCAGCGCTGGAGAGAACTCAAGGAGCGGAGGCCTGCGATCGGACGCCGAGGTTGCTTTGTTTCTTCTCAATAGGTGAGTAACACCGTGTCTACAACAACTAAAGTCTGCCTACACTGGACGCGATCAAACGACCATTGAAAACCATTTGAAATTTGTGTCAGCACGTCATAAATAGAACCCCGCAGCAGTTTTCTGTCGGGGATTTGTTGCACCGCGCCGCTCACGTCCGTAGACACGGTGTAACATTGGTTTTGCTTTGTTTCACAGAACGAATCGTTGCCTGGGTTGCGTACGTATATATGTGGGGCGGAGCTATCAAAATAGGGGCAAGACCCTTTTGGGGTAGGGGCGTGTTTGTTTTGGTGATTTCAAATATCAACATTGGCTACCAGAAATCACTTACTCTGCCTTTAATGATCAAACAAAGAGCCACAGCCTCCGATCAATATATAGATACCTGCAAATAGGCATGGGCCGGTACGAGATTTTGACGGTATGATAACCTTAAGCAAAAATATCACGGTATATTCGGGACAATAAGGTACATATCATTTATATAATTTCATATCATTTAGTTATATAATTTCATACACATAATTTGATTTAATAATAACCCAATTTGAAGCAAAAACAGAATGTTCTGACTAGCTTTGTGAAATTATACTACATGCCTGAACGAAGCAAACGGCAGAAGCTCTGAATGAGATGCTGATTCACTCTCTGACAGCAGGAGGCGCTTCTGGAACACCAGATGTAGCGTTTCCTTGGTTTTTTCTTTGATTTGTTTCCTAAAAAGAAAAATAAAGACTGACATATTTATTTAACAAAAATCTGTAATTACAATTATTTAGTTTTAGTTATATAATTTATATACATATCATTTTTATCATTTCATATCATTTAGTTATATAATTTCATACACATAATTTGATTTAATAATAACCCAATTTGAAGCAAAAACAGAATGTTCTGACTAGCTTTGTGAAATTATACTACATGCCTGAACGAAGCAAACGGCAGAAGCTCTGAATGAGATGCTGATTCACTCTCTGACAGCAGGAGGCGCTGATACAGCGTTTCCTTGGTTATCGCAGTAAACAAAGCAGAGCTGCGCTGAAACACTGCTTTAATGTGAATTATACGAGATGAAAAGAAAATACCATCTAAACGTTTCTGAAGACAGTCAGTTCC